GCGCATGCTCCTGTCAAAAACGTTGCAAACATTGGGCCTCATTGGGCATTGGTGCAAGATTGCCCGCATAACAGGGTTGGGGGTTGATTCAGTTCTAACTCCAGGTAACTCCAGGTAATGCATCGCTGGCATTTTCAGTGTCAGTGTCAGAATCAGCTAGATTTGCTGCTTGCTTCCGGATGTGCAACCGTTTTGGCAGCAGGCTCCTCCTGCAGAACAGAAGGAGGCAAAACCAGCGGCGCAGATTTGGTGTGTGCTTTGCTCCCCTACATTTACAAGTTTGCGGACAGCAGAGCGAGACGAGCGCCGGCCTCTGATTCCATGGCAGGCCATCGCAGCAGCTTTCAAGCAGCTCATCGCGCAAGGTGCCTTGCTTGATGCACTTCTGGCAAAGCCCGAAGGAGATTCCCCGACTGCAGCTTGGGGTTGCAGGCAGGCGCTTGAAGGAGCGGTTGGTGATTGCACGTACCTAGTTTGTTTGCTGCAACTGCGACTTTCCGAACATGCCATCAACAAACCTTGAAGTGACACAACTTGATGAATGAAGCTCCAGAGCTCGCAGCAGGCATGGCACCCAACGAGGCCGCCCTGGAGGCGATACGGTCGTGCCGCCTCGTTTGTCGACCAGCTAGCTGAAGGTTCGCCAGGTGCTTGGCCTTGTAGTATGTTCTTGTCGTCTTTTACTACAGTACTACTACTAAGACTACTCCTCCTCCTGCTGCTGTTACTACTACTGCTGCTGCTACTACTACTACTACTACCACTACTACCACTACTACCACTACTATTACTAATATTACTACTACTGCTACTACTACTACTGCTACTACTACTACTACTACTAATAATAATAATAATAATAACACTTGATACTCTGGCCAGGCGGGTGCGATCAGAGTCCCGGGCACAGAGTATTCTTCCTTCAAATTCAGGTCGTCCCAAAGTCTGATCCCAAGCTCGAAAGCACCAGTGCAGTTTGCTCCGAGGTCTGATGCCCAAAGGCAGTCGGCCGCGGTGGCCTCTGAGGCACTCCTGGCAGTTAGGGGCTTAGGGGTTTGGGGTTTGGGGTTTGGGGTTTAGGGGTTTATAGGCTTAAGCATCAGAGATGATGCCCTCACGGCCTTCGTATGCAAGAAGAAGGGGAAGCTAAAAGCATCTGCCAGAGTAAACACGCTAACGTGGAGGACCCCAAAACACATGAAACCAGGGAGCACCACCCTCAAGTCCGACGGGCAAAATGGGAATTGGATTCGAAAGTTCTCTGACAGATGCAACAACCCACACGTAGCAGGCCCACATGCGAGATTCGGTGGACGAGTCGAGTTTAGAGGTGGACTGCCCTGGAGGCGGGAGACGCCCACGGAAGTGTTTCAAACAGCTTCCGGATCTCGTCGTGCAAGTGTACAACTTATCACATTTCTTGGAGCTAGAGGTCCAGAGGGAAACACTTTCGATTTGTGCTTGGCAAGTTCGTGACGGTCATAGCGACTCGTAGTGACCTTGTTTAGCATCTTCGTACATATGCAGGTACCTTTGCAGGCATGTATTCTGGTGTCTATGTCGATGTGATGTGTCTAGGATTGGCAGGCATCGGAGCCCTCGTATTCACCAAATCATGCTCCCTCGGTTCATCGTCGCGTCTGCAGTGTCGGCTTCAACCTCCTGCTTTTGTTTTTCGTCCCGCCCACTTCCACTCCAGTCCAAGGCCAGATCCGGATGGGCCCTTCGTCTTTCTCCTTTGTGCATCGAGTCCAAATCGGGGAGAGGTCCTCTGCATTCCTCTGCCCTCGCGATCTACGAGTGCATTGCATTGGTTATGGCGATGCGCTGTCTGCTTGCTTGTCTGTCTTAATACCTCTTTGTGTACATCTCGCTCTCGGTCTGTCTCTTTGTCAGTATGCTGGTCTCCTTGCCCGCCTACCCGTGTCTCCATCCTGTTCTTTCTCTCCCCGACTCTTTTGGACTGCGCCTCTTCTACCCCCGTCCATCCACTCATCTACTGGTCTGCCACGTATCACCCATCTACAATGTGGTGGCAGCGGCTCTCCCCTCACCAATTTATGTGCTAATGCTGTGCTAAGACCTTGCCCAGTCTCGCCGAAGAATCGTCTCTTTGAGCAGCTAGTCCAGCCCAGTCGCAGAACAGAACACTTTTGCAGTAAAAGCAAAAGATTCCTTCTGATTCACCATTCCAGGTGCGAAAGCCACAGTAGGGGGTGCTTGGTGAGCCTGACCGGCGTCGTTTCTAAGTGACAACCCATGCAATTACATCTCATGCAGACCTGGTTCAACCGATGCACCAAACTGGGGAAGGATTGCACGCTGCTTCGCATTTCAGCTGATATCCTTATTTCTTGGCTTTGGCATGCGATTCCAGAAGACTTGCTTCTGCTTGCGACGAGAAGCAGGCGAGTGCGCGAAGGTGACACAGACCGATGGAGTTGCGACTTGAGTGTAGGAAGTCCCTGTAATAAGGATCCTACTATTTGGGGTACTATATTCGGGTCCCCTTTTTTCGGAGACTCCCATTTGAGTGTAGGAACACCGATCCGTGCAGAAACCAATCCCGACGAAATCTTTACGTCTCGCGTGAGGCCCTTACACCTGCTTCATTTGTACAGAGGCGCAAGCTCGATTCTTCTTTTGGGGGGGCCTTGGGCTTGGTCCATTGGTGTTAAGACAGAGAGCTACGGAGCTGTTCCTTGTGTTTACATTGCTGGGAGCGGTGACCCTCATGTATCCTTGCCGATTCAATCGGGAAAGACTGACATGTGTCTTCACCGCAGGCCAAAGATGCTTCAGAACGATTTCTTCCGCACAGGTCCGCTACTCGTCCTCTAGGATGCTGCTGCTCTTTGCAGCAAATATTCCCAGCCTGTACCCTGGGTTCGGTTGTGACAGTGCCTTTCTGTCTTTGCACTCATTTCCTAAACTCTGTTCTTGCAAAAGCTATTTACTCTACCAGAGCCTGGCTTCAAGCTTGCAGTTTGCGAGCCGTATTCCGGATCCCACAAGTGCGTGTCAAGCATGTTTGGAGTTCGATTCAATGGGCCGTGCATCGATCTCAACTCGTGATGCTTACTTGAATGTTGAACTGCACCACATATGTACTGGCTCCAAGAAGCCGATGATGGCAGACCCTGGCTCAGAACATAAGGGTATGTCTCTATATAGTACGTCGTACGTAGGTCTATACAATGTGTTTACACTATGTCTGCTGCCGTAGAGATTGCGTCCTCATTCCCCCCAGCCCACGCATCCAGCCATCTGTGTCAACTAAGGGTCCTCAAAATCCCAGATCACTTGCCTCTCAAGCAAGCTGTGGTGGTTGCGAGCCCGAATCCGATCGACTGGCTAGATATACTGAATATATGCCCCACATTACAATCCTGATATCACGAGCAGGACACTCTAGCTTGTGGTGCCTGCTGGTGTATTACCCATGTTCATAGTTCGATCAGCATATCTTGGGTTGGCACTGTCAGGTCTCGGTATGCTATCTAAAGCCCCAACCTTAAACCCCCAAACTGCAAAACAAAGCCAAAGCCCCAATCGCCTAAACCTCAAACCCCTAAACCCTAATCCCTACAAAATAAGCCCTAAAGCCTAACCCCTACAAAATAAACCCTAAACCCTAACCCCTACAAAATCAAACCTGAACCCTAAGCAAATGGGTCCTGGGCCTGCCCAGTCCCCGAAGCCTTGGACGTCAGGTGCCCCGAGATTCCTGAATCGCTGTGTTGCAAGCCCTGTTTCGTCGCTTGGGCCTGCGCCTGAGCAGTACTATCGGATTCGGGCTTTGCCCAGAGGCCCCAAAGTAGTTCGATTTTGGGAGTGCCCTATAGGATTCTATATATGAACCCCCAAAAGGGGCTACTATGGGGCCTTTGGGCAGGGTTTAGGGTTCTGCAGCTACTGTTTTCCGGACCTCAGCTGGCGAATTCTGAAGCTGTTACTTTAGCAAAGAGCAAGCAAGTAGTGTGTCCAGCGAGCAGCTTTCCGGGGCCGCTTCTGGTTTCAGCAAATATTTGCATGCACTTAAACATGCAACAATATTTCGGGCTTTAACCATGTAGTTAATGCCCTTTGCGTCGAGACTGTTTGCTACTGTGCATGATACACATACCAAGTGTCTGACACGGCAACCAAGCTTCGGGGCAGGAGTGACTCACCAAATTGCCGGACATTACCACACCACAGGCGCAGCACAGGTCACAATGCAAACATGAAGGGAGAATAGAGACACGATCGCAATGTGACTGTTACATGTGTGAAACCTGGTACAGCAGTAGCCTTTCAGCAGGAGTGCAGCAACATCTTAAGAAGCAAACATAGCAGCAGTCCGTGCAGACATGATTCAACGTATAGACACTACAAGTAGTAACATGCACAAATCCTCAAGTCGTAGGCAGCTACGGTCATGGTGGCAAACGGCTTCGAATAAGAAGAAAATGAAGGCATCACACTCACGGAAAGCATGCTGACGCTGCCACCCACCACATTGTAGAGAGCACGAAATATGTCAGGTCGGAGTTTACGGTGTTGCAATTCACCCTCTGTGTAGAGACAGAGACAGCAAACGACGCTGTTTGCCTATGTGTCCATCCGCCTCTGGTCGCGTCTACACAGGGTTCGGATATTCTAGGTTTTCATCAGAATTAGTATCTAGAATGTATACTATGATGATACTATGAAGGTCTTAGAATTTGTTTCGCAGGTCGAGTCTCAGATCGACGCCGACTCTCCGAACATCAAGTGCTGCCACTGCGACACGGAGACCCTGTCACTGGGAAAGGGCATCGTGGCCTGTCATCTCTTTGCGATGACGACTGACATGCAACCATCACCATCATGATGTCGAGCATCGTTGCCACTCTGGTCACCATCAACATAATATCCAGCATATGCACTTGTACCTTGTTCTCAATGGGTTCCTGTGCAGCGACTTGTAGGAACCTGTCCTTGGTAGTACAGTAGGGGCACGCTTCCGATCATTGCAGGAGCTTTCCAACCGGACCTTGCAGTATCTCGTGGACGCCGCCCACTGGCAAAGGCTGCCCCGCTAGCAGCGCATACCTGAACAGAAGTCATGGACCCGCGACTCCTCTACTGGCTACCGATGTATGTTGCGAGTGTTCTAGACTAAGCTTCAAGTCTATGGTAGCCGTTGATCCGCATCAATTTATTTTCGGGATCCCTCGAACAGACCATATGTCACAGCAACGCCCAGTTGTGGTGCTGGAGACTGCATGCTCCGTTGACTTTGAACAGCTGGACACTTTGAAGGTATTGCGACTCTGCCCTGCAGCGTTCACTGAAGAGGGATGCCAATTTCATTTGGTGCTCCAAGTTCTGCCCTGAGTTCGGATGCATTCCGCCCCACATCACCTTGCAGAAGCTGGCAGCAGCTGGCACATGGTAACCTTTTGTGCCGTTGGACTGGCGTCAGATGCTGTGGCCCCCGAATCGAAGCCGTGTCCTGAGGTGTGGAGGTGGTGGATGGGTGGATCCAACGACGCTTGCCAGCAAAGCAACCCACTCGACAGTCCAGCAAGACATTCGCTGCAAAGGCATGCCCATCGCCCGTGACAAGACTGAACATGCCGAGTCCATACCGGTTAAGATAACCATAGTATAACGGGCCCCAAAACCATATTCCAATTATTCAGGCCCCTATATTTAATGGTAATGTGCTCCGAGGCAGCCGACCTCGAAGTGCGGCTGGAACTGCCCTTTGCATCTCGGATCAACAGGAGACTCGAGGTGCTTTTGAAGGCACAGCTCCTGCCCCCCCCCCCCCCTGAACCATTTTGCCCCCTCGCCTCAAAGGTCAATGGTCCGGAAAAAGGGTGGGGCCCCCCCTCCCCTGTGGTGTGGGGTGTGGGATGGTGTGGGGTTCCTCTTCCCCCTGTGGGGTGGTTGTGGGGTTTTGGGGTTTAGGGTTTAGCTTAAGCTTTTGAGTTTTGGGTTTACGGTTACAATGTATAAGGCTTCGAGTCGACAAGGGCTTAGGAAGGAGTTGCGGTGTATGCTCTGCTTTAGGCTTAGAGCCTGCAGTTAGGTGGGGTTTAGGTTGGGTGTAGCGTTTTAAGTACAAGGTAAGTTAAGGTTGCTCAAAACAGGGGCACGCGCTGCGTTACAGGGTTTACGGCTTGCTTGCAAAGGGCTTGCGCTTGAGCCCTGGCCGCCAGCACCACCCCACCATCCAGTGGCAGCTCCAACGGCCCCCAACCCCTTTCCGCACACGCTAGGGCCTCCCCCCCACCCCTATCAGACCATACCTTTGAACGCCTGACTATATATGTGCGCGAAAGGCAAGATGCCACCGTGCAGTTAAACCGAAGCACCTGCGAAGAAGCTGTCCCGACAAAGTGAGGTGCGACAACAGCTTCGTTTACTGTCCCCTGTGCCGCAGGCCGCCGGTATCCTTACCCCCAAGCAAACTTTGCATGGATGTTCCTACCATCGCTAAGTGATGGGTCTTGTCTTGTCATTATCATGTTGATTGAGCACAGTCACCATTGCAATGACAGTGACAACCTAGTTGCAGTGGGCTGTCTTGATTGTGCCCTGTGCGAGATTGGGCACTTGGCACGCTGCTGCACATATAACTGATATCGAATCGTAAGCTCTGCCCGGAATGCTAGAAGCTACCGCCATACATTGTGTGCATTTTTCCGCTCGATGTTTCTACCATAAGATGTGTCTGAACGATGGTGATGCCTGCGATGCTGCTGTTGGTGATGGTGGTGGTGGTGGTGGCATCGGTTGTGATGTCTGTGATGGTGATCTTGATTGTTCTCAGCTGACAACAGGGATCACGGCAGCGTAAGCTGCAAGCGCTTCCACAAGCTTCGAAAGGAGGCCCGAATCTCTGTCACTTCTTCTGACGTGCAATCATAGTACTAGCGATGTCAGGAGACAGAGTCATCACAGCAAAAGCACTACTACCTGTAGAAGAACAAGCGAAGTTGTAGACCGGGTTGCATTCGGCTTGGATGCCAGCCGTAACAACCATGATGAGGACACGACAGGCTTACTATTGGCAGTAGCAGCAGTCGTAGCAGTAGTTGGATGTCGGCTCCGCCGTCGTCGTCGTCGTCGTAGTAGTAGCGGTAGCAGCCGTACCAGGATTTTCAGAAGTAGGATTGGTAGAATTAGTATCGCAATTATGACTATTCTTAGTAGTCATCATAGTCGTAGCGGTGGCCGTAGTCGTCGTAGTAGTCGTAGTAGTAGTCGTACTTGAAGTTATAGTCGTAACCGAAGTCGTAGTAGTAGTAGTAGTAGTAGTAGTAGTAGTAGTTGTTGTAGTAGGATTAGCAGTAGCAGTAGCACTAGCACTAGGACTAGGACGAGGAGTAGGAGTAGGAGTAGCAGTCGTCGTCGTCGCCGTCGCTGTCGTCGTCGTCGCAGTCGTAGTCGTAGTCGTAGTCGTAGTAGTAGTAGTAGTAGTAGTAGTAGTAGTAGTAGTAGTAGTAGTAGTAGTAGTAGTAGTAGTAGTAGTAGTAGTAGTTGTAGTTGTAGTAGTTGTTGTTGTAGTAGTAGTTGTTGTTGTTGCAGTTGTAGTTGTAGTTGTAGTTTGTAGTTGTAGTTGTAGTTGTAGTATGTTGTAGTTGTAGTTGTAGTTGTAGTTGTAGTTGTCGTCGTAGTAGTTTTTGCAGTATTCGCTGCACTCGCAGTCGTACTCGCAGTACTCGCGGTCGTCGTAGTAGCAGTCGTTCTTGCAGTAATGGTACCGTGGTGGTAGCGTAGACAGTAGCCGTGGCAGTAGCAGGAGCAAAAACTGTAGCAGCAGTAGCATCAGGAGAAACAGCAGGACTCGCAGCAGGAGTCGTAGTAGTAGTAGTAGTAGTAGTCGTCGTAGTAGTAGCAGCAGTAGCAGCAGCAGCAGTAGCAGTCTCATCGCAAACATCCAGCCAACATCATGGTCACCGTCAGAGTCGTCAGCAGCATCAGCAGCAGCAGCAGCACGTCGCCCAAGGACAACACGGATTCGATTTTCAGGAAGCGAAACAGTCCCTGTGTATAGCCCACAGCCCCACTGGTACCTCCCATTCAACCCCTGGTCAATCACAGGTCGTTCTTGGAAAGCAGCAGGCGCAGGATCGAGACTCCGCTGCCGCGGCCTCGGCCGTTTACGGTGTCGGATTTATTCCGGGGCAATTGCGCCCAATGGCTGAGTGTCCATAGACGAAACTGGTGCACGCGCTGCAGTGCGACTGACATACTACATGCACAGCTCACAGCTACTAGCAGCTACTAGCACGCAGCATCCTCCGAGCGCCTCGCATTGTCGTGCAGAGCCTTTCAGATCTTGGTCCTGATCGTCGAGAACAATGCCAGAGGGTTGCGATTTGAGCGTACCCTCTCCCCCATGCATACAATCCGAAATCCTAATCCTCCAGCTCCTTGCTGCGGAGGGTGTGGTCCAACGGAGCTCCAAGAGTTGCCCCTCATGCCCTGCCCTTAGATCCGTCGGCGTGCAAGAGTGAGGTCGAATGCCCGCTGCAGTGCAGCCGTGCATGCATTGCATAATCAGTTGGTGTATGTATGTATGCATGCACGTATGTATGCATGTATTTGTGCATGTCTGGGTGGATGGATGGATGGATAGTTTGTATACACCTCACAATATACATATTATGCATGTGTGCGAACCTTTATATACATGTATGCGCAGGTGGGCCAGGTTTGTTGCTTCATCCACGGAAGGTGTAAGGCCATATTCGAGATCTTCTGGAGAGAGTTGCTGCAACTGTTCGCTTCGTTTCTCTTTCAGTATGCTTGCGGCTGATGATAGAAATCCTGCATTGCCTATAATAAGGAATATACCATAATTCCCATAGTTCGGGTCCTTAAGGTAATGCAGGATTTATATCATCAACCGTTGCCGCTATTAAGGGGACCTGCTTCCTGAGGTAAGATGCCCATCCAAAAGGCGGAAGCCTCAGCAAAAGGTTCCAACAGCCTCCTCCAACAGTCCGTTCTGTGTTCCGAGCCTTTTTGAGTTGTGGATGTTGTGGTGGAGTTTGCGCCAGGGTGTTTTGGTGTTTTGCCTGCCACGCCCTTGCTAAGTCTTTTGCAACATTGTGTGAGTGTTTCGTGAGTTTTGTGTTTTGAGTATTTCCTGGGTTGTTTGGGAATTATCCCGAATTGATTTCGAGTGTCCTTTGAGCCCAGTGTTGGAGCCTGTATTCGTGTTGAGTTTTTCGCTGAACCTTGGGCTTGAGTGTTCTGAGTTCTGTTTCAGTAACAGAAGCCCCCATGTCGCGTGTGGGCTAGAGGCTGGAGCGGACAACTGCGGATTTTGTTTCACCCTTCTTACGCCTAGTGTGTCATTACAGTCACGGTGGCTGGCTGTGAATCCCGACTGCCGTTTGCAGAGGATGGTGGTTGCAATTACATGGACTGCCCCAACTGCCGGCGCCACTTCTGCTGGAGTTGCGGTCTGCGCCTTGGCATCCCCTGCTGTTAGAATCCGCATTCGCTGAAAGCCCCTGAGCCCTAAGCCTGAAGGAGCACTACAACTTGTGCCCCGGACGGGGGTCGAGCAGCTTAGCATCTGTCACTCCCCTGGATTCGGCTGCATACGACGGTGTCGGATCGCTGTCGCCTGTATTGCTTTGGCTTCCAGATCACTTCTGGACTGTTCAGCTGTTGAACCAGACCAGGGCTCAATCACGGCCTCGAGCAAGAGTTGCCCTCTGCAGGCCAAATCATGAAGTCCTCTCACCAGGCATCGAAAGGGTCTTTTCTGCATTTTAGGCAGCAGCTCTCTGCATTCGTTGCCGATTGTTCAGCAGCTCGGCCCTTTGTCGACATCTCCTATCGTATCCACCTGTGTATTGGCTGTTGTATTTCCCTTCAGCGGATTCCCTCATCCCTCGTCATGTCTGGTCCTGCCGCCGTGGCAGAAGCACAAATGCGACGCTGGGTTCGAAGCTTCAGGCGTGCCGGCCTCAGCAACAGAAGCATGGGCGAGCATGGGGCCCTGCCGCACGTGTGTGTATGTGCCTGTATGTATTTGGGTTTGATATTTTTTGCTGTTTCAGACTTGGGGACTAGATCTCTGGCAAGGGCAGTGTCATCCATAAGCATCACACTTTGCGTCGAGATATAGTGATGATATGGATCTGTTGCTGCAGAGGTTGTTGGCAAGACCACCCAGGGCCGCCCCTGTGTTGAGTTGACGAGGCAGGATATTGATCTACACTGGGCTTGGAGCTCAACGCGATGCTGGTTGACAGGCTTTTCATGAACGTCATCGACATTGATTCGATTGAGGTCATGAACGTCGCCAGAGGCTGAGCAAGCTGCAAGACTCGCGATTTGCTGCGGGACTTGTCCACACCTGCTAATGTAATGTAAGGGCTTGAATAATTACCAATACTATAGTGGGGGGCCCTTCTTATGAATATAGTACTATATACCCCAAAGCCCTATTCAAATGAGTAAGGCCCCTATATTATGTCCTGCTGCTCAGGATGATGATGATGTCCAGGACTGCAAGGACATGCTCGTGCCCAGCGCAGATCAGGAGGTGGGCTCCTTGCAGACAACTTCGGCACGATCGCCGCTCATCCTAGCCACAGTAGGCTGCAATCTGGCTACGGTAAATAGTTGGCAATGATGATTGACGTGCCGCCTTGCATTCGTCGAAGTTTTCTCAAAATGAATCGATGTAGGCGTTTGAAATGTCGTCAGGCTGAGAGGTTTGCTGAGCATGAAATCCAAGACGGATGACAGACCAAACCAAGCAAGGCCAAGCCAGTTTTTAACATCAGAGCTCTTTAGGCCCTCTCTGACAGAAGACCACAGCTAACAGAAGGCTCTATCTGTTTGAAGACAAATTAAAAGCTTTGGCAGAAGAGGCCGTCTCACTCTGAACCGTGGCTAACAGAAAACCCTTTCTCTCTCGCTCTCTCCTTCTTCGCCTTGTCGCTCTATCTAGCTAACTAGCTGCAGTACTTGTGTCCAGATATCTGTCTGTCTGTCTGTTTGTCTGGCTATCTGTATGTATACGTCACCGGGTAGGAGAAGGTCTGCTACTTCTTCGTATGCCTGTGAATTACGCTGTGCAGATATGCTGTAGCTGCCATCGATGTTTGTTTGCATGGTGGGTACCTGAACCATGTATGGGGTTCCTACGATGAGCATGGTAGCTGTTAGGCTCGTTATACTCAGGATCCCACTTACAACTTAAAACGCCACTGTCTTGGGCAGCCTTGCAGGCGAAGTCTCCGCTCTTCGTTGGACCGAGCCAGATGGATGGCGAGATCTTGTTGAGGTTCTCCTGTGCTAGCCCTGAGCCACGAAACCCTGTAGTCCTCCCAAGGTTATCGTGTTTATGTACGTAGCTGTGAGGGCTATATGATAAAAGGTGCTTATAAGGGTTCTGTGAGGCTTTCTACAAGCATTCTTGAGGCGTGTGGTAGCTTTACGGGTTCGGAGCGTTAAAGGCCCATGGCTTTCGGGCAGTGGGGGATTTGGGGTTTAGGCTTTAAGGGCACAGGCGAGCAGGCAGGAGCCATTTATAGGAGAATCCAGAGAATTGGAACATCAACATCCTCATGCCCTCAAGGGAAAGTGTAGGGGATCCTAGCACCAATCCTCCTACACCCATGTTCCACCTTTTCTGGGGTTCACTATAAGTTTCCGGATCTAGGCCGTGGTGATGCGAGCCATGTAGGTGCAGACGTGCTGCCCTCCTAAATCTCAGCCTTTAGCCCTAAACCCGGAATCCCCGGAACCTGAAACCGAAGGCCCTAACTGCCCGGGGCTACCTGCAGAGCTGCTTTGATTTGGAAAGCTACGGAGTGGCAAAACAGGTGGCAGTTCAGATTCCCTGAAGAGAGAGCACTGGTAGGTTCATGGGTAGCTATAAGTAGGGTTATAAGTCCCCTATTGCGGGTTCTAACTATGGTCACGCTTCTTATATCCCACTTATGACTGCCCATAAACCTGCAAGCATCAACAGACAGCGTTCTATTTAACACTGGTCACGGCAACATATGCCATAATATTCCAGAGTCCGACTACAGTACCTCCGGGGCAAAGTTAAAACCGGGCAAGCTTTGTAGGCAGAAGGTTCGGGTTCCGTGCCAGCTGCTGTGGTGACATCATACCCTGCATAATATAGGGGCCTGAATAATTCGAATAGGGTTTTTGGGGCACATCGTACTACAGTAACCATAAAAAGAAACCGCAACCACGTCGCCATACACCAGCGCATAAACGACAACCTGTGCACGTTTTTGGGACTCCCCACATCTCATGTTTCGGGAGGTATGTGCGCAGAAAACTAGGGGATATCAGCAGAATTGAAAGCAAGCCTTCTGCACAGGTTGCCTTTCAACTTTACCAGCGCCATCTCTTGGGAAGTGCCGATTCCTTACAGCTGTCCTCTCGCACCGTGTTCACAAAGGTATTCTTCGTGAAGGGGTCTAGGACCCTAGGATCTAGGGCTTGGTGTGATATGTATATTGACTTGGTACCTCGTTGCCGATTGCTGCGAGGACCCACATCCATGTGCGGGCCACACACCCGCCGGCACCGAACTGCTGTCGACCCAAATCGCTGGGGTGCCTTGACTCAAATCCTATGTCGTGTAATCGTTGTTGAAGACGATTGTAGATGCCCATCGCAGGTCACGAAATAGCCATGGTGTTCACTTAGTGTAACTAATGTGCGGGCTTGCACATGTGTTGGAAAGCTTCGTCGTAGCTTGATTTTGGCATAATCACTGGCGAGGAAAGTACCGATTGGTTTGTGAATTCATGCAAGCTTCGAAAAGCTGCCTTGCTGCAGATAGGAGCACTACGGCCGCCACGGAATGCAAAGAAGATGACGTCATGTTCTGCTTTTTGGCATGTGTCGTGCTGTTAATTTGTGGTCGCAACATACTACAGCCATTTCTGCGGCAAAATATTCTGCAACGCATTGCTACGGCAGTATGTAGATGTGGCTTGAGATCATGCTTTAAACCAAGTAGCTGCATGAGCTATATTTTCCAGGGGTGATAAGATAGACAGATCGGTAGATGGCTCTACACGCAGGATGCTTTGGTCGATAATTATGTTGTTAGACTCAATTGTGAATCAAACATTCGATAAAGCAGAGTTGTTGTGCCTAGTTGAGTTTTCTGGCTTCTGTTGTCACGACCGTTGGCGCCAAAGCACTAAGATAATCGCCGACGCAACCTGACTTACTTCAAGTGCAGTCACAACCTGGCTCGTTTGTATGGCAGTTCGGTTCGTCAGTAGCCTGACCGAAACTTTGGAAACGACCTAAATGACCATGCAGGCAGCTGATACCCCCCTCCCCATTGTAGGTTGGTAGCTGAGAGGCTGCTGGCAAATTCGCCGAGCGCCACTTTCAGCGACTTCGATGACAGCACTGCGGTCACTGTAAATTTGGAGGCACCTTGTTCCTGAAGCCCTGAAGTTCCATTCCGGTGTAGCCGTCGTATTCGTAGCATGAAATGTAGCGCGCTGTTGTTCAGCAAGGTGTAGTGCTTTCTGCCGGACCTTGATCGGTCAAGACCAACCACGAAGCTCCTGAAAGGGCAACGGCAGGTCTGACCGAAGACTACGCGACTGTATATGCTCATGTGATACGATCTACGCAGATCCGGTGTAATGCAGCATCAGAGAGAGCCACTCACCGGGAGCAACTTTTGTCGAAGAGCAGTGGAGCATCATGATGATGATGATGACGATGATGAAGTCGATGATGTTGATCACCATCATGGTGATGACGATGATGATGGGACCACTGGTAATCCAGATCTGTTGACATGGCCACTTGAGGAAGAGGTCCCCAGCAAATTCTTAGTTTGTAGGTCAAGCTGTAGATTAGATTGAGATTCGTCATGTATTCGGATGACGAAGCATGCAAGTTTCAACAGGAAGCACACGACGCTCTTTGAATTTCCAGCGTTGACTTCCTAAGCGCTACGGTGGTGGGTGCCACTGCAAATTGCGAAGCCTTACACCCGAACCCAAAGTTCATGCATTGGCATAACGAAATGACACAGGATGTGGGCAGTGGTGTCTTTCGAGCTTCACTGGAGCCATTCCGCACAAAAGGCTGTCAGCTTTGTTCGGACTTCCTTCGAGGATCGAGGGAGTTGTGGCAAGAAGTCGTCATGCTGCCAGAGCTTGAACAACTGTAGGATGCTGGCAGTCACAGGGATGTTTTCCTCAGACATGTCCAGTTAATGCCTTTGATTTTGTCCACGTCGTGGAGATGCAACATATGACAGGCACCTTCAAGCGAATCACGTGCCTTGCCGTCAAGGTGTGCGCAGCACCTCGGATCCATTAAGAAATGTATGCGAAGGAGAAACACTCAAAACAAGACCCCCCAACAAGCCAATGACAACATCAGACGCATCAGCAGTAGTACTCGTACGACTAGGATTGCGACGGGCGAGCCAAGTCTGGTCAAATTAGGAGCCCGCTTTCCAAATTTGCTGTTGTTCTTGCGGACTTTCACTGTCTACTGGTGTAGTGATATACCGCTGTTGCAGCTACTTGGCACAAAACGAAGATCCCCTCGCCTGGAAGCTTTTCGCACATTGCTAAGGCAGCTGCTGGTGAGCACGAGGATCAGCTTCAAGGCTCTTGCTGTTGCTAATGCTGCTGCTACTACTGTTGCCGCTACTACTACTACTACTACTACTACTACTACGACGACGACTACTACTACTACTACAACTATTACCACTGCCACAAGTACACCTCCGCTACTTCTACTACTTCTGCCAGCCCTACTTTTACTTCTTCAGCTGTTGAGAGATAGCCGTGCCAAGGCTGAGACCCACGCCACCACAGAGTTCACGACATGCTCCGAGCAGAGATCTGTGACCCAAACTGCGACGGTGCTTCTCTTTAGTATCCTATAGAGCATGTATAGGCCCGACCGGGTTAGTCTGACTAGACTAGAGAGCTTGCAATTCGCATGAATGTATTCCAGAGCTTCTCCTGCCAGTCTTTTTCAACGGCCTCTCAGTGTTCGGCGTGCCCGGAGATGTTGCAGCGAGCTCCCGTAGGACCTTGCACAGGTCTTCATGGGTCTCGCAATCACGACTGGGTCTTGGGGCTTCCGGAGATCCTTCGGGACATGATGTTCACACTCTTCTCCTTTGGACAGATTCCGAATCTTCAGATGGAAAGCCGATCTCATGCTAAGGGTTTGTGCTGACGGAAGATGCGACGGGTTCCATGCTGCTACCGGGGTTGATGATGATTAGGGCAGTGTCTGCAAGAGTTGATCACTTGGCATCCTTCACAAATGTGCCGGTCGCCATGTTCCGAACTGGTGTCCGCGAAGCACGACTGACTTCAAGCCTTCTGACAGATCTTCAGGATCCGCAGAGGTTTGTAGCATGTTTTTGCCCATTTGTCAAGATTTGCAAAAGTGTCGCGCGCCCGAAACCCATTTCGGCTCATTGGGTGGTAAAAAAGATCCCCCTCCTTTGGTGCTCGGCCCGGAGGGGGAGACAAAGATGCCAGCATCTCGGTTTCCGTCCGAACCATCGATGCTCTACAACTTGACCATATAATATGACATAATACAATATACTATAATATAGTAATCTGGTTCCACTCTTGGAATGCTCCAAGGCCACCAAAGAAACAGGATGCACCGCCTCTGCCGGAGGCGCAAGCATGGCGGCCGTCGGCTTGCAAGGGTCGCTTCTGTGGCGAAACACATGCATGAGGTATGGTGTGATTGAGTGGCAGAAGATCTTCCAGCTTCGTCGGTTTGCACCAGGTGGAAGAAGAAGTGGCTCTGCCAGAGGAGCTTCTCACAGAGCGCTCTGGGGGGACCTCTCCTTGTGTTGTTTTAGGTGGTGTGCGCACATGTGCGTGCGTGCTTCTGTGGGTGTTGGGTTTGCGTGTTTCTGTTAACAATGGTACTAGTAATAGTTCAGTTATAACAGTAGTAATCATGACATCAATAACAGTAAGCATAATGACAAAGTGGGTTTGTCGCCTGTTGGTCATCGTCCGCAGCGTGCTGAGGCCCACAAATTAAGCCCTACATACGTTGATGTAGCCTTCATATCATCCAGCAGGCACAGCCAGGTTGTCAGGCAAGCACTACATGCACAAACAGTGTTAAAGAAGTATCGCATCGCACAGTGCCTGCAACTGAAGCTTTGGAGAGCTTCAGATTGTTTCGAAGCCCATCTGATACCCAACACATTCAGCCAGGAGGTCAGTGGTGGCCTGAGTTTCAGATCGCTGCAGTAGCATCGGTGTACAGGTTCGTCAGTACGGAGGACAGTGTTGCCATTATTGCTCCATTACTTTTGAGCTTTACCACCCTTCGCTAATCTAGCAATCAAGCTGGTGGATTGACATGGAGGGGCAGTCCGAAGCCTCGGGATACCCAGGTGACTTTCAAGAGCCTTCGTTCTGCTTGGCCATCGCCTGAGCGCAAGGTTTCAGGTGGACTTCGCCGGTCCCTGACAATCGTCGACTGGAGGGGTCTTAATACCTAGAATAGGGTTTTGGAGGTTCCTTATTATAATATGGCAGAATGTACCCCCATACCCCCTTCTCTAGCTGTCGTTAATGGTTGCCAGTAATGCAACAGCCATCGCACGTTGGCTTTGGTTTGCTGCAATTGTGAGAGAGCCGAGATGCAGCCTGTTGGGGCGTGCTCAGGTCCTTGGACATCTGGCAGGCACGCGACACCTCGAGAGAATGGATAGGGCTTCCAGTTTAACTAGCATCATGGAGATTACGGTGACTACACGACCACATGCTGAAGGACTCATCTTGTGCACACACACACACACACTATCATACAATAACTGCTGCCCTAAACCCCTAAATCCCCAAACCCCTAAACCCTGAGCTTTCCATCATCTTGGCATTCCAACTCCTGACGTAGGCAGAAGGAAAAGAGGGCACAACAAAAAAACAGCAACAACTTTCCACCTAAACCCCTAAACACCTGAACCCCCTAAACGCATCTTGGCGTGCTTCTCGCTTGGATGGTCCGCAGACGTCTTGCATAAACCCCTGAACCCCTAAACACCTGAACCCCCTAAACCCATCTTGGCGTGCTTCTCGCTTGGATGGGCCGCAGACGTCTTGCACAAACCCCTGAACCCCTAAACACCTAAACCCCCTAAACCCCTAAACTTTCCAGGATCCAGCTTCCGGGTGCAGCCGCCCGCAGGGCCACCGGATCCGGAGTCGGGGGAGCCTGCGGCCGCGCCGCCGCTCCAGGACGGGGAATTAGGGCTCAGGGTCTGGGGTTCAGGGTTTCGGGTCTAGGGTTTAGGGTTTAGGGAATTTGGTTGCGGAGGGTGTGGGGGTTAGGGGATTATGGGGTTTGAAGTGTGTCAAGTCGGAGTTTTGGTTTAGGGCTTGGGGGCGGGAAGTCAGGGTTTAAGGTTTGGGATTTAGGGTTCAGGTTTTAAGGGTTTCAGGTCGGGGGCTCCCAAGCTCGTAAACAAGTACGAAGGAGACGTGTCGAATGGGTGAGAAAAACCGGGCTGCATGTTCTGGTTGGGAGCTTGTGCCAGTCGCCGAGGATTCTGGGGAAGCGAGCTTTTTGCAAGAAGAGGATCTTGAACCCCTTGGGAGCAGATGGCTCTTAAACTGCAAGACCCTGAACCCAAAACCCTTGGAGTTCCAGTAGAAGAATTTGTTCTTCAAGTCCCTAGGGCCCTAGGGTTTAGGAGTTTAGGGGCATGGGACTCTGTGGGCCCCCCGACCCCAACATCCTAAAGCTCAGAATGCTCGACCCGGACAAAACCCCCAAGACGCCGGGGTTCCGAACCTATGCAAGACGCCCGACACCCTCGCAGCTTCACTCTGCGAATCCTCGGCCTTTGAAGCCCAAAAGGATGAAGCCTGAAGCGCCAAGGCCCGGGACTACAAACCCGACATGTGGACGCACACCCCTTGGGCGTAGCAAGACCCTAATCCCGGAATTTTTCTGCACCCCCTATAGACACTTAAACCCTAAGCCGCTAAACCCCTAGTGTACCCGGACGCCATGTTACCTGCCGCCCAGGACTTCGATCCTAGCAGCCTAGTGCTGGCCCAGGTGCCTAAGGTTCCAGGTTCTGGGTCTCGGTTTTCAGGGCTTAGGGTCACAATTCCCTGAGGAATACAATGACAATGGGTCTTGCTTTGGGCTACGGGCTGCGTGGGCATGTTCTCGTCGATGCATGTTGTGGGAGAGATTCGGCCTTCTTGGCTTGTAAGGGGGCGTGTGGGTGTGGACGCTTGGGTGTTGATTGGTGTGCGGCACACGGAGTTGATGGGAAACGGGTTTTTGCTCCAACGGGCTTCTGAAGCCTGAATGCCTTGATGGAGTTGATGTATGCGAGCAGGTATGGAAGTGATCGCGCCAATTTGGGTTCAGGGTTTGCCGGCAAACAGCCTCTCTGTCTCGGAATTCGTGTAGGCCTTTTGCAGGTCTTCGGGGTCGAGGGATGTAGGCTAAAGTTTGTAGACGCACTCAGAGGGAGGCATTTTTAATGCGTCGGAGTTTCCGGATATCTTAGAGGTGATGAGAAGGATGGCAGCTCCGAGTTTTGCCCATGTGCACGAATCTTAGGTCATCGTTAGTCGCAAGTTCGGATGCACAGGAGGTTCGGTGGTGACGTAGTTTATGCTTTCTCTGACTAGGGTCCTTTGTCCTGGAGTTCTCAGTGTGCAGGCCAAGCAGCCGCCTGCAGATGCTCCGGCACAAATTGCAGGGGGCCAAGTACGTGGAGCATGACTCTTCCGTTTGACATCGAATGTCTAGTCTGGATCATTCCACTGGTCACTACGAAGATAGTACCTTAAATGGTAGGATCCTTACTATAAGGACCCCCAAGCGATTCAGGTCCTCCTTGAAAAGGACGACATGCAGGCTTATTGCACGGAGGCCTATGGCCTACAGGACGGCGACAGTCGAGCCTAGACTGGCTTCCAGCAGAGTAGAGTGTGCATTAGTAAGTAGGCTTTTGAGAAGTGTGTCTATGTATGTAATGTATGTGTACATTATTGATTTGCATGAATGTATGTACGTATGTTATGCATGCAGGATTGTCAGGATTGGCATTGTTGCCGTCGGTAGAACCGCGGTGCCGAGACACATCCGACAGACAGTGGACCTTTCCTGAGAGCGGCATGCCCATTGCGTTCGATCTTTCGTCCCAGCCATGAGCACGCCATCTTTACAAGTGCTGCAAATATGGTTGCCACAAACTGTCCGGACTCAGCCTCTCGGAAACGACATCATCTGACATCCGGGAAAGTCGAAGAATTCTCAAGCAGATGCACATAGATGCACTCACGGGTGTACGTGGCAGGCGGAAGATCGGTGGCCTTAAGCAACACCGAAGTGAACCCTGATGTTTCAACATGCTTTATTGCATGACGTTCAACTGCACCCTGTCTGGAGGACCAGCCGCTTTGGGCAGGTCTGAAACTTCGCCTGGAGAAGGACAAGGGCATGACGGTGGTGTAGGGTTTGGTTCGGGGTGCAGTTGCGGAGTTGATCCAATCTGGGTTGAGCCAAGCATGCTTAAATGCCTGGTTTCTCGGGCTTGAGGAGATGTCTCGCTCCTCTGAACCTGTGAAGGAGCGTGCGGCAAGAAGTCGTGCAAAGTCCAATGCAGCCAGGCAGAAGGTCCCGGTCCCGGCTGCCAGTGGGGCGAACCAAGTCACCAGAGAAGTCCAGCTGGTTTGCTGATCAGTGGTCCGTGTCTTCCGGCTGAGGATGCCATCAGCCCAGAGGTCGAAAATCGACCCGACAATACAGAGTAACCAACTGCATCCAGCGGCTGTCGGGCTCGCAACGAGCCCGCGAAATCCTGGATATCCGTATCCTCCCAAGCTTGCAAGAAGACTCCAGGCCATCGCAGCCCTAGAAGTTGTCGAGGAGGGTGGCACCCCCAGATTCAAGAGGGTGACTTCACAGCTTGTCGCGGGCATTTGCGGGAGTGTATGGCTTGGCTTGGTGTTTTCTGCACGCAGATTAGAAATGGTCGTTTTGTCTTATCTGTGGTTCCGAACATACACCTGCGATCTTAGATCACCGAAGCTCCCCAGTCATCGTCCTTGCAAAGGGCCCAGAGCCTCCCAGCCAGAACAACCTTGCCAAAGTCTCTGTCAACGAACCAACAGCCGACCCAGGTATGACCTCCCCCACCCCGCATATAACATCCCACTTCACTCACAAGTGAACTTGCCATCGGAAACTAGGCCGCCCAGCGTGCCGAACAACTCTAGATCAACTGTTTCCCGAAGACCAGAACCCGGACACAATTACGCGCGAAACTGCTGAAGTCGTGAGTCCTATTCGACGATGACTCATCAATGAAGGTTTGAGGCGGGGTGAGGTTTGGAACACACCCACACGGACCAAACCCCTAAAAGGGTAGTTGTCAGAATTATGGTCCCTTTTTGGGTACCCTAAATAGTAGGTGCCGTACTATAATAGGGGCCCAAAAAGGGACCCTAATTTTGACACTAATCCCTAAACCCCTGAACCCCAAACACCTAAGCCCAGCACCCAAAAACATTCGAGGCGAGACGGAGGAGGCAAAGCAGGAGCCGAAGGCTACCGAGGCCTCGGATGACCTCCCAAAACAAGCTTTCAGAGGGGTTTTAGGGCTTCGGATGTTTAGGGTTTAGGATGTAGGCTTTGGGGTTTAGGGTTTAGGGTGTAGGCTTTGGGGTTTAGGGTTTAGGATGTAGGGGAGGCTTTGCGGGTTAGGGTTTAGGATGTCGGCTTTGGGGTTTGGGTTCCAGGGTTCAGGGTTTAGGTGGTAGGCTTTCGGGTTTAGGTCCCAGGTTTGAGGGTTTAGGGTTTAAGCTTCAGGGCCCAGGATTTAGGGTCGTTTGATGTTTCGTTGCTTTGGGCGGATAGGTAAAATAGCGGGGTGTATTTCTTACGTACGCGCAGTTACGTATTATAATCTTATTGGGTTTCTAGCATCATATACCCCCATACCGGGTCGGTACCCGGCGGTTGAGAGTCGGTGGTCCTGTTGAGTTTTTGTGCGTTTTGGGCATAGTGCGAACTTCGGGTTGGGCGGGGTTCAGAAGTTCAAGCTCGCATGTAGCGGCGTCTTCAGGTTGACGTAAGCACCTTTCTCCTGCTGGCTCTGATTGCATAGACAGTTTGCTGCTGCCAGATGAATTGTCAAGTCGAAGTAAGATCGCACTGTGCGAAAGCATATCCAAGAATTAGCAGCATTGCCAAACATTTGATCAAGGTCGCTCCCGAAAGTGCAGTACTATAGGGGCCTCAATAATTACCTGTACTATTTTGGGGGGGTTCCTTATTATATCTATACTATCTTATACCCCCAAACCCTATTCTAGTTATCAAGGCCCCTACATTATCATACCCTTATAGATCCCTTATAGACCCGTCTAAAGGAACCCTATTCTAATTATTAAGGCCCCTACATTACTTGCCCGACAGGAGCAGGTAGACGTGCTGTTCCTGATCGAGGCACCGGCGGACGCAGAGGACCTGCAGGCAATGTCCGATGCAGGTTCGCCGGGAAGGGCGGGGCGATTTCCAGCGGAGACTCCTGATATAGGGGCCTTCACAATTAGAATAGGGTTCCTTTAGGCTTTAGAGGGGTATAGAGGGGTCTATAATCCATCTATAAGGGTATGATGATGCAGCCAGCCGTGTCAGAGCTTCGTTTATGCTCTCGAAAGCTCTTAAACGAGAGGTGAGTATGTAAGTCCATGTCGGTATCCTGTCATGCGTTGATCAATACGGTTGATGATAGAAATCCTGCATTACCCATAATAAGGAATATCCCAGAATTCCCATAGTTTAGGGTGCTTAAGGCTTAAGGTAATGCAGGATTTCTATCATCAACCGTAGCATCCCTCAGATCGAGTACTGCGTAGTGTCTAAACGTGCTGTACAACCAGGCATTCACACCGTGCAAGGCGAAACGATAGCGAGAATTTCATAACAACCATGCCGGCTTCCAAACACCGTGCCCGGAATCAGGTTTCGATTTGCTGTTTTGAACAGGGGAGGGGTTGCCAAAACATGTGGACATGCACGCTATGTGTATGTATGCAAATACATATATGCATATATACATATATATGTATATATGCAAATGCTACATATACATAAAGATATATATATATATAGATACATATATATATATATATATACATATAGGGGAACATCTATTTGCGAGACACCCAGAGAGAGAGAGAGAGAGAGAGAGAGAGAGAGAGAGAGAGAGCGAGAGAGAGAGAGAGAGAGAGATATATAAAAAGATACACACACACATATTTATAAAGACAACAACAAAGACAAGCCAGAACGTTATCCGCTCATCGTTGAAGGAAGTCATGATGTCAGAGTCTGCGTCGCGTAGGCCTCTACGAAGTGGTCGACCTCTGGACGAGCATCTTCTTCGAAGGCTTGTGTCCGGTGCATAGGTGTATAAAATAGGGGCCTTAATAATTACCTATACTACTTTGGAGGGGTTCCTCATTATGATTATGGTATAGCTGGCCCCCAAACCCTATTCTAATCATTAAGGCCCCTATATTAGTTCACTGTAGAGCTCTGGAGCTTCAGCTGCATGATCTACAGGTGGCAGTGTGCAGTATCATATCTGGAGTCCGCCGATTCTGCATAAAGTATTTCCCTGCAGCTGACGTGCAGGCAAGTCTGTGGATGAAGCCGATCCGACAGTAGAGGCACCCCGACGTGAGCGCCAGAGCTCTTGTCTGCTTTGGGACTGAACCCTGAGCCTTATGTCATAAATCCCTACACAGATTACCTTAGCCAAGCTCTGCTCATGATATCGCTTGTGACATGCTGTGACTATCACCGCTCCTTGCTGAGGATGCTGATGGTGCACGGTTTAGGCAAGAAGCCTTAAGTTGTGGAGGAGGCTTGGTTTCTTCAGTTTGCCGTGCGAGCTTCTTTAGGGTTGGCTCTGCACTTATGCTGTTGGGAGTGAGTTCAGAGCTTTATGCCGCCTGGGCCGGACAAATTCATCATGATGATCTCAATTTTGTGTACGAAGCCAGTATGAAAGCACTGTGGTGGTGGTGGTGGTGGTGGTGGTGGTGGTGGTGGTGGTGGTGGTGGTGGTGGTGGTGGTGGTGGTGGTGGTGGTGGTGGTGGTGGTGGTGGTCTGTCGGCATATACTTCCAGTACAGTAGTTCGTCTTTAGCAACGTGTCAACTATGACATATCAACTTGTACGCAGATGTCGTTATCAGGCTCTCAGGCAGATTTGCCATACTCTACATCCCTAAACCCACAGATCTCTAAACCCTAAAGCGTGAATCCCTAAACCCCAAACCTGGATTCCGATCAACCAGACGGGCGGGAGGAAAAAGGCGTTCAAAAGAGAAACAACCTAAATCCATAAAGCCTAAACCCTAAGCCCTAAACCCTAAACTACACCCCAAAACCCTAGATCCATGTAGCCTAAACCGCTTCCTTATAATGAGCTTCTGTTCTTGTGCAAGCAGGTGCCTTCCGAGGTTCCTGCCGGTCCACAGCTTTTCTATGAGGCCGGCCTTCAAAGAGCCCAAGTAGGGTTTACTTTAACCCCGAAGAACCTGCATTTTTTTAAGGACGTATATAAAGAAAGCACAATAAGGAACCCTAAAAAGGTAGGGTATTCAGGGTTAAGGTAGGGTTCAGGGTCCATGGTCCAGGGCCATTCAGGGTTTCGTGGGTGCTTCGGATTTGGACTTGAGTGTGTTATCCCGGCTAGAAGTTTGGGATTTCGGTGGTCTAGGATGAACTGCCAACTAGCACAACATGCTGGGAATGGCAGGCGATTCACACAGCCTCAACATCTGCAGATGTGGCCGGCAGCTCTGGCCTTATGCACTTTAGGGTTTAGGGGTTAGGCAAGCAGCGTGGGAAGCTTCTGTCAGGTGCTTTCTGACATTGGGCCGTGGGAAGCTTTCGGAGAAGTTGCCCCGAAGTGGGAAGCTCCTGACTGTTTGGAAATGCCAGAATCCGAATCCAAAACCAGACTGAATCTTCCAGAATGTCTCATAAGCAATGTTACACCAAAGACCCAAACTGCATACAACCCTGAGAAGAAGTGCCAACCCTACACTCACGAGCACTCGTAGGACTAAGCGCTACGCGTTTAAAGTCCGCAAACCCCAAAGCTCAAATCTTTAAGATCTGAAGATCGGACCCCTGAAGCTTGGACAACTTTAGAGCTTAAACCCAAAGACGGGATCTGTCGCCTGAAGCAAGATTCGGTCCCTAGAGTCTATGTATGCTATGCCAGTGCAAGTGCAGAGTCTGCAGCCCCGTGCTGCAGTGCGGAAGTCCCCCTGTGATGAAGCATAGATGGCTATGGCCACTAGGCTTACTAGGGACTCCCAATGCTTTCAACTATATGTTTATATATAGTATGTATATATAAATATATATACATATATACATATATACATGAATATTTATGTCTTGATATTTATGTTGGCATTGTGTATTTACTTGTATTTCTGTTATGTGTATACATATGTATATACATATGTCTAGATATCTATGTATATATATATATATATATTTATATTTACAGACAGATCTTTCAAGGCCCCAGGTCCTTTAGTGCCGCCGAGGTACTGTCTGCACCATCAGCGACAGCCAGGCCTTGGCCTTCGAGGCCGAGTCCGAAGAGCCCCAGGAGAACGAGGCCGCCGGGAGAGCTGAGATGGCCTCGGATTTAGGGGTTTTAGGGGTTTAGGGTTTTGGGGGTTTTGGGGGGTTTTGGGGGTTTAGGATTTTGGGGTTTAGGGGTTAGGGGTTTAGGGTTTTGGGGGTTTTGGGGGGTTTTGGGGGTTTGGGATTTTGGGGGTTGGGGGTTTTGGGGGTTTAGGGGTTGAGGACTTTGGGGGTTTAGGGGTTGGGGGTTTTTGGGGGAGTAGGGTTTAGGATTGAGGGAAATTGAGGGGTTTAGGGTTTTGGGGTTTTAGGGTTCAGGGTTGAGGGGTTTAGGGGCTTATTTGGGGGTTTAGGCTTGGGGGTTGGGGGTTTTTGGGGTTTAGGGTTCGGGATTGAAGGGTTTTGGGGGTCTAGGGTTTAGGACTGCGGGGTTTAGGGTTTAGGGGTTGCGGGATTTTGGGGGTTAGGGCTTAGAGTTTAGGGCTTAGGGGTTGAGGGTTTGGGGGTTTAGGGTTTAGGGCTTAGGGGTTGAGGGTTTTGGGGGCTTAGGGTTTAGGGTGTAGGATTGAAGGGTTTAGGGTTGAGGGCTTAAGATTTAGGGTTGAGGGGTTTAGGGTTTAGGGCTTTGTGTTTTGGGAATGGCAGGAATAAGAACAATCTACTTTGCATGCTGTCTCTTCCGCCTCTCTCTTGGTTTATGTGTTGCTAGTTTTGAGTTTTCGGCTTGGTATCTCTTTGCACATACTTGTGTAGATACAACTGTTAGAGCACTTACTGGTATCATCTTACTAACTTATTATGTATTGCCACCAGTGGGACTCATTGTGATCATGACACCTTGGGCTGTTGCTGCTGCTATGACGGGCATAGCGGCTATGGCATCGCGAGCATGACAGTGAGTGCACTTCACGAGACACCAAGACGTCGCAGACAACCCGCCTTCGCCATCACGCTGTTCGTGTGCGTGTTTATGTGTATGTGTGTATATATGTATACATATGTATGCCTGTGAAGGTTCACATTTGCAGATATTCCTTTGGATGTGGGTACATATGCATACATACATGTATGTATGTAGCTGTATATGTATATCTGTATAAAGATATAGCTACATACATACAGACACGCATGCCTATATATATATGTTTGTTCTTTGTACCCTAAATTTCAATCGACCTTCACGTGTTCACATCTTTCTCTATGTTTATGTGTATACGTAGCGACATCTACGTTTCTCTATGGCGGCTGCGGCTTGATCCAGGTGCCTCCAACAGAGAAGACACCGAGTGAGAGAGTCCTCGCCGCTGCCTTAGATCCACCGTCGGCTACTGCCAGGTTCTCGCGTTCTTTGTGTTTTCTAGAATTCGGCGTTTTGTGGACAGTGCCATGGGCAACGCCGCTCGTCCCGTGCTCGTGCAGCGTGAGCAGGCGGCCATGTTGGACGTGGTTGGCAAGGAAGCCAGATCGCGAATGCGATACAAGGCTCGTAGAATGAGGGTTTTTCGGATGGCTTATGAGCTGGGGGGATGAGGACGAAGCCTGGCCTGCGCATCATCCTTTCATGCTGTCGGAATGGCATCTCGGTTTGTTCATCTTTGCTCGGGAACTGCAGAGGCCTGGCTGGAGGCCCAGCTGCACAGAGCTTTGTGCATACGGTCTGGCTCTTCAACTTCCTGCAGCGTGCTGATAGGAACAGCTAAACACAGCCATGATCTCCATGACTCGCGATGAGCTGTCCAATAAGCTGTCGGTGTCAGTGCTTGGCAGCTGCATCCTGCAAATCACAGACATATCACCGCACTGACCTGGAAGAGCATGCGTCACAGGCCATACACTCTGAGGCAGCTACCTGCCATCAAACCGCATGTGCGGTTGCCTTTTTTGACGCAAGTTCATCATGACACTACCAATGAATGATAGTCGAAAACTGAATTCCAGGCTTAATCTTCAACAGTTGCACAGCTAATGTTGACATGCAGCTAGCAATCTAGGTTCAGCCGCAGATCGCCAGCCCCCTCCTGTTGGGAGGGCAGAGCCATGCCGGAGTCAAGGAAACCATCCTGAGCTATATTCTAAGCAGAGGGGGAGCTTCGTCCTTTGCTGCAGATCTCGCTCCTTGCACACCGAGAGACGCGAGCAGCAAGTTGCATGGTTCGTCGAGCCAAGATACTCTGACAGACTCTGACGACAACATGACTACGGTTTCGTTGTGAGGCAACACTCGTCTTATAAAGTGTTGGTTCTTCGCAAGCAAAGCCATGGCGTTTACCTGCGCGGTCGCCGTGGTTGGATCGGGCAACTGGGCCGGAGCATGATGAACGTGTCTGACAATCGCTGTGCTACACTCGTGCTTCGCATCATCACTACTGCCAGAGCTAAACAGCCATGTTCCTGCTGAAACTAAACCCTGTAGCACGGCAGAGTGCTTGCAAAGAGGCGGCTAATGTTGATGGCCCGGATAGAAAGCCCAGGCCTGATCATGACATTCGGTGTCTGGACCCCTTATTCTCAAACCTTTGCCCCCCAATAGTCAAAAACTGCTAGAGTGGCAGGGACATAAAAATAGCTAAACCCTAAGCCCTAAACCCTAAGCTGCTAGGCTGGGCGGGCACATATACGGCCTGGCGCCTGGCAACTCAGAGCCATACGGATGTCTGCCTCTTCGAGGCCTATCATCGGCCAGGCCAGGCCGTCATGCACAAATAGATCTATCTATCTATTTATCCATGTAGCTATCTATGTATCTACACGTACATGGAAAAGGGTACTACCGGAACATGTTGTTAACAATCAGTATTAACAAAAGTAGTCAGTAGCAACACTCCTGGAAATAGCAAAAGCAGTAGCAATGACGAGAAGAAGAAGCGCGACAATAGCAACAACACCATAACAGCAACAACATCATCAACGGGAACAAAGAAGAATAACAACCATGACAACAACAATAAAGTAATTGTAGTAGTGGTAGTAGTCGTCGTCGTTGGCGGCATAACGAGAAGAACAACAGCAGCTACCATTCTTTTTTATGAATACTGGTATTGTTGTTCAGTATGAGTGTCAGTAGCAGAATCAGAAACAGGACCAGGATTAGCTTTAGGTTTGCTTTATTTCTTCCAGATTTTCAGTTTTCGTGGTCGTACTACATCGTGTAATTACACAGTGTATACCGTGAATTACATACCATATGGAGATTTAGGCGCGTATCCATGTAGCGTGCACCTGTGGCCTCTTCTCTGTGTCCTGGCCTTTGCGGTTGCTGCTGCGCTTCGAGCCGTTGCCCTTATGTGGCTGCCTTTTTTCGACTCTTGCTTACCCCTTTACCTGCCAAGCCACATAGTTGCTCCTGTTTACATGGGACTGGACATCAGCAGGAGCATCGAGTTAGACCGAAGGTCAGAAGTCGCAGCAGGATGAAAGAGAAATGCGCCCTGAACCTGAAAGCTTCGGGAAGAACGACGAAGGTGGCCGGACTTACAGCACCAGAGTGCACGACTACATCCTGGACGTCGGTGCATATCGGTTTGCTGGAGACATGCTTGGGGCCGAGTTGCTTTTCTGTATCTCGACACTTCCCCGACCGTGTCCAGTGTAGTCTAGCTGCGCTCCTACACCGCCTGCTGAAGCCCTTAGACTTTTTCTGTGCCAGCAGCACTTAGGCATCTCCCGGCCGATGTCATCGAGAAGGCCCTAGGCTTGCGCAGTGCAGCATGGCCGCACCGGAGTTGATGCTTGGGCGACTTAAGAGAAGCTTCGTTACAGGTGTATAAATGTTCTTTAAGATGCAGTGTCTGTCTGCTAGAGTTTGTGGGCAGATTCAGTCGATATGCGTTGAGAGCACAAGCAGACTTTTTGTGTGGTGTTTGATGTCGATGTCAGTAGGAGTATCGCATGCGCACTGACATATTCCCTGTTAACTTGCAGAAGCTTGTTGTCCATATCCTACTGCAGACCTTCAAGTGTGGTGACCCGACATCCACTCTTAAAACCTTGAGCTCCAAGCCTTCAATCCTAAAATCTGCAGCCCCCCAGTTTGAGCTAGAAAGGCCTGCTACGATCCCACCTGCAGAGACGAAGCTTGGCAGACTTTATTTGTAGCCCCCTCTACTCCGATAAAATTCCACTGTTATGCTCCGCCGTACAGATCCACTTTTCCTGTCTTGTCAGTCCTGCCCTTTTGCATGTATGCATGTATATAGGACGTGCGACGTCCGTAGGTCCGTACATGTGTATGTATCTGTGCATGCAGGTATGCATGTATGTGTTCATATGTGTATGCATATGTCTTTGTTACTGCATATACGTGTCTATGCATGTATGTGCGCATGTTTGTGCATGCATGTATGTATGTAGGTAGGTATGCATGTATGTGCGAATATGCATGGATGTATGTATGTCTGTGTGTCTGTCAGCCATGTGTATTATGTCATGTATGCATGTATGCATGTATGTGTGCGTATCTTTGTAATCTGCATGTCTATATGTATGTATGTCTGCATGTATATGTCAAGTGCGTATGTTGCTTTTTAGATATGCGTGTATGTCTCTGTGTATGCATGTATCATGTACAGGTACGGGTATACAAATGTCTGCAGTTGTACGTAGATGCATGTAAATGCATTGTACATGAGTGTACTAATTAAGGGATATGTGTCTATGTAACTGTGCATGCATGCAGATACATACGGATGTGAATTTACACATACATATAAACATCCACACACATGCTTACCATATGTACGTGCATGTGCATGCGCACATATGTGTACATGTGTTTAAAGGCATGCACACATACATCTCGCTCGCTCTCTCTCTCTCTCTCTCTCTCTCTCTCTCTCTCTCTCTTTGGCTCCATCTTGTCCCTACTTGCACGTGTGGGACGCTTCATACGTACACATGCATATGCTGGCAAAACACCAGCGCATACTTTCACGAACACGCACATACACACACACACACGCATGTGATGTCTCTGTTTGTGTGTTTGTGTATGTGTGTATGGTGTACACGTTTAACATGCGTCCAGTTATGAGGAAAGAACTTACAAGTCATTGGAGGGCTTACGGGTTTTCAAGGATGGCTCGGAACATCAGTTTCTCGGCAAAACAAGCACGGCCTTCGAACAAGTGTTCGAGCGCGCAATGGCAAATTCCACAGCTTAAGTCAGGGGCTCAGGATGAATAGTGCGCGGATTTTCAATTCTTGACTCAAGGGCAGTTGCAGTGAGGAGTGTTTGCAACGGCACATCCCGTGCCCCACGATGCTAGATTTTCCACGGCGCAGTGTCTTAAAGATCAATGCTACTGAGGACGATGTCAAAGCAGAGGTGAAGCAACTCTGACTGAACTTGAGCCTATGCTTCTTCAGAGGCTGCTGCTATTTGTTGGTAGGTGGTTCCAACTACACGAGAAATCGAACAGCGCGCTGGCGCTGGCTCAGGTGGCCGTACGAGCTACCGCTCCGAAAAATCGTGGGGTTCGATGGCCGGCACCTGGGTTCCTTGTTTTGCAGATACTTCGTTTGCAAAGGTAGATTCACGAGACACAGAGCACAGCTAAGGCTATGGAGCGGCGTTGCAGGCGATGCTAGCGCAATTTGATTCTTGTCGTGATGGTGCAAACCAGCAGCGAATGGTTGAATTGATGTTTCTGTTTGGGTTGTTGTTTCGATTTGCACGATCAGATCTACTAACATGGTCGTTAAAGTTCAGGCATATGGTTCGAACTAGTGATCATATGGTCTTACAATCACCGCTGTGATTGCAGTCGCTGTCGTTTACTGCTAACTTACTTTTAGACCATGACGGCAGTCATCGACATCATCATCAGCGGCATCATCATCGTCATCCTCATCATCGTTATCATCATCAGCAGCAGCAACATCGTGATGGTGTCGCTGTCATCATTATGACTCTTCGTTGGAAATTTAGACGCCTGTCCACCAGCTGCTGCTACTGCTGTTGCTGCGGCCACTACTGCGGCGACCGCTACGGCTACTACTACCACTAGTGCTACTACTGCTACTACTACTACTACTACTTCTTCGTCGTCCTCCTCGTCGTCGTCGGCATCGTTCATTTGTCTCGTTGCTGTCGGGTTCGACAGTTTCCGGCCACACCAAGGAGTCCGCCGGCGGCCGCTTTTTTCCAGGATATGCATGCGCTAGAATGGGCAAACCAGGGTCAGTTTCCAGCGAGTCCAGCCCCTCTGACAAACACAGGTCGCCAGCCCTTAAAGCGAACAACTCCCATCCCTAAGATTCGAAATGTGAGCCCTACAATCCTCAACCCTAGACTTTACTGCTGAAACCCTATAGCGCCTGATTCCAGCTTAACTCTGAACCACCTAAACCCTATAAACCCTGATCCCTAAACCCTGAACCCCAAACTGTGCATGCCAACTCCTCGGGAGTTGATTCTGGTTGAGGCTTTGCAGCTTGCGAGGATGGCTGTTCTTCTCCGTATTTTCGCAGGGTGCAGGCAAAAAGTAAGGACTGTAGATTGCGAATAGGGCATAAGGAGACTTCTACCAGCATTGCGATCTTGCAGCAGCAACACTTTGGACACGCCAGCGGCAGAGCGAGAAGTATCGCAGGAGCTGAGCTGCAGGGGCTCGAGCGCTCGGGAGCGCAGTGGCTGCTGCACTTCACCAGCTCAGGGGCCGTGCCTTCGTCATTTTGGGTTGTGCCGGGTTGCAAGTTCGGAACCCTAAATCCGGCATTCTTATCAGTTTGGC